TAAAAAAATTACCAGAGGAAGTAATAATGAATCTATCAAGATTTTGGTAATTAAGAAAAAATCAATAGATGTGTTTCTTTTTTGATTTTTTTCTTATCTTGTCTCGAAGACCATCGGTCCACCACTATCTTCATACAAAATAAATTAGGTAGTTTCAAAATTATCAAAGATATTACGAGTCAATTCAAAGTCTTCTTTACATATGTTCAATCATTGGAAATTAACTTAAAAATTATTATTATCTCTCGAAGTATTTTAAAATATAAGTTTTTGTCTTTATAAATATTTAATATGTTTTTAGTATATATTTATAAAAATGGTGTGGTGTTAGTTCCTCATTAGAGACTAATTAAAAACAGACATCTTTATTAAAATATAAGCATTAAAAATATATTAAATTTTTTTATAGAAATTAAAATTAATATTTCAAAATATTTTGTGCGAGTAGAAATATCCTTAAATCAAGGATTTTCTACCGCGTTATTAATTGAAGCGCTCACGAGCAAACCTAACATCACCTTTTTAGTACTTAGCTTCAAAATTAGGTCAAAGATTCATTCTATTTTATATGTCCTTTCGTATCTAATACTAAATTTCTTCTTTAATGCACAATTCCTGAATTTTTAATAATATATACGATCATGGTAATTCAACAAAAAATAAATAAATAAGACCATGGTACAATTTGGGCTTCAACAACAGTACAGAATCAAAGTGTTGGTTTTAATTAATATATATCAGTTCAAGTGATCTTAATCACATAATTAAAAAAATGTGAGACAATATTTCATGAAACATTGGTGGGAATTTACATACTTTATGACTTGGATTAACAATTTCATTAAATTACTTTGTTAAAGTATTTTTTTTCAATCTAATTGTTTTCTCATGTTATATAAACCAACTAGATTTTTTTTTTTTAGTTTTGAAACAAGATATTTCACTATATTACTATTATATATTTATGATTTTCATATTTATCTAAAATTTAAATATGAACTTTTTTTTCTTCATAAAAGTGTTTTTAAGGACTTCTTTCGAGTGAGAGAATTTTATGAATTATTCTAACATCTTATCATGTTCAAATTTTATTTATCATATTATTTATAAATTAATTTTTAATAATTTTAAAATAAATAATCTCTTATATATTAATACAAATGATTATGTTGTGCATGAATGTTTTTAGGACTTTTATCTAAAGAGATTATTTTTAGAAATTCTTTTAATTTCTTATTTTA